TCCCTGTCAATTGAATTTTATTAATAAAACTATTCACTACCACGAGGAAGGCAGATCGGGTCCCGAGAGTGTGAATTATTCAATTCAAACGAAAGTTGTACATGCTCGGTATCTCACGCTGCACGCGCACCCCGTAGACCGTTTCCAATGCGTTAAATTCATTGGCATGAGCGATTGATAACTACTGGACTGATCGCTCATTCTGCCAGTTTAAAGGTTATCTTTAGGTATTGACCATTCTTGGTTGTCGCCTCCTTCCTTTTAGGGCTTCTGACAAAGCTCATCACACTCCCCTTGCGTGTACTACTGTGTGATCGATTCGATTAGCTCACTCCATTTCACCTCTGCAAGCTCTCCTTTTCCATTTATTGGTGTATTGTTTAACGTCATCATCATCATCATCATGAAACGAACTATAGACCAGAGTTACTATAATCAATGAGTACGTGAACTAAATTCATGAATTTCACTAATCACCGTTCTACTGTTACTATTATCATTATTATGATCATCATGATGGTTTCTTGATTTTCGGTTCATGGACTGCATGAAACACGGTCAGGGATCATAGAGGAAAAATGAAAAACAAATCCAGAGAGATTAATTTCAATTTGTATAAAATATCAAATCAAGGGCGGTGAAGTGCTGTTCTGAGTATGTGTTGGCCAATAAAGAGCACTGGACGTTTGCCTTATCCTTGTTGCGACTTATCGGCAGTGCGTGCCTTTTGTGCGTCCCGCTGGGGAAGGGCGGACCGCAAACAATTGTGTTGCTAATAGAAAACCCAACTCCTGAGCAGCAGCAGCACGTTTGACCAGTGGAATGGTGTTTTGCATGGCTACATGAGATACGTATTATCGGTTGCAATATCCATATGAAGTAGCAGACACAAGTATGTGTATTGATCCAATAATGCAATACAGCTGAGTCCCAACAAGGACGAAACAGCTTTGGGGATTCAAAGCACTCTCTCAAGGAGTGAAATTCCCATAACTCACAGTACCCCCTCTGTACCCCCCCCTTCTGTTGTCTATGAATTTTCGATTACCATTCCAGAATATTTTACAAAGGAGCGTAATATTAGGTCGGTTACAAGTGGTTCGGTTCGGAATGTTTCCAGTCTAGTCGTTACCCTCTACGCTGGTGAAAAGATGCATAAGGTACGAAGTCTGCATTAAGTTCGCAAAGACGAGTTGCGCTGTCGAGCATAGGAAAGTTGAAAAGCGGTCTGATCAGCTGCCGGATGGTCAAGTGGATAGTATGATTGCGTTCTACCTGCGTGATCTCGGGTTTAATCCTCCAATGGGTCGGTGGATTCGCACTGCTGATGAGACCCAACAAGGTTAAAACAGCTGTACAGTGCTGACGTTTGCTCTCCATTTTTCTGTGTACACGGCGGAAGCTGACATAACACCCTCTGACGTGGCGTGATGCTTCTTTAAAATCAATAGGTAACTTGAGCAACTTGATTTTTTTCATTTTCTTCTCGATATCACCATTACTGAATGCTTACCCATCAATCGAGGGAACTAGATAAAGGGGAACTTTCATCATACTTGATGGCAAGCTCTGAGCTGAAAGATGGAATGTGCTTTCCCTATGACTTATGAAGGGAAATATTACTTCCGGTATAGGCCCAAAATGATGTTTTTGCATAGCTTATCCGAGTTTTAAATAATAGTACTCCGATTCCAGTAAGAAAATACTGTTACGCCCTACCCCCGCCTCGATTTCTGTTTTCTAACCCTCTGTGTGCTTTCGTGAACCGGTGTTTTTTGACCCTTCGTTCGTTCACCCGAAAATATATATCATTCAAATTCACTTTCTCTCAAAATTCTGTAGACCAATGCTTTCCTCAAGTATCCATGACGCTTATGACTACCATCGCACGGTTTTGTTTCGAGTTAAAAGATTTAAATGATTAGTACGATCATAAAGTCACTCGTCCGTTGGGTCCACAATACACCGTCCCCGTTGTTAAGCTGTAATCAATGATTTGACCTTCATCTCGCATAGATGGTGTTTTTTAAGTCCTAACCGGTCCTCAGTTACACGAATGACCTTGCAATAAAGCAATATTCACAGAAAACCACTACGTGTTCTCACGGCGGTTTAGATTCACTTGTTTTTACTTGTTGTTACCTTGCAAGCAACGGATCACCGCATCGCAGAATTCTTTCACATTATTTAGGTTGATACTGAATTTAAAACGTGCCACATTTTTGTTCCACAGCACATGCAGATCTTTCACAGGGTTCAGTCAGTACTGAGTCAGACAGCATTTGTGGAAATCCTCAAGAGCTTTTATTAAGCAAAGCATTTGCGGTTGGATCACCAGCTGCTCATGATCCATACCCAGGTTTAATTAGTACATAGCTATAATAATAATAGCATAATAGCAGATTACTTACTTCCCGTTGATGTTTTACGATTGTTTACCTGTTTCCCATATTTATATAGGGAACCATTGTGCTAGGCGGCAAGCGGTCGATATGCGTTCAGGTGATAATTTGTCTATGACCCGGAGTGTACTATCAATTTCACACTGCCAAGCGAAAATCGAAATTAGGTTCAAGACATCCTCTTCAGTGTAAAGGTGTACATTTTGTGAGTAAAATGGCTGCTCTCTTTCTCTAGATAGCATCGTACAAGTGTTGTGTTGAGACAACCTCGGATATGACTCTAATGTTGTGCAATAAGTATAAGACCTTGAATCCAGTGGAACGAAATGGTGAAATCCCTGGCCAAAGGACCGGGGCTTATTGGTGGTACTAGGATTGTCGGTTTCGGACCTCGATATCAGTCTAACTAATAGTTTTGAGCAGTGAGTGACACATTTGAGTGATGAAAAGGCGGTACTCCTGAATATATTCACACACCTAGTTTACCCGAATCCTACAATGATTTCTGTTAGCACTGCCCTCTGAGCCATTCATTTAACCTCGTTTCGTTATGCATCCATCGAACAGGTCGATGTATTTACACCAATCCTTATCGGAGCATGAAAAGATAGAGTTCATCATGGCAAAGCCCCGACTGAAACTTGATCTATTTGAACCAAAGAAAAATCTCACCATTTTCGTGAAACGGGATTGTAATCTTTGTCTGTCAGTATTAAACACTATTCAATTTTTCAGTTCCCTGTACCTTGGAAATCTTATTTCCCGTTTCGGGAATAAGCAACGATGAACCACATATGTTTGTTATCTGAAGCTCTAAGTGGAATGTGAGACACCCATCAGTGCGGTCATGCAATGTTATTCGCCAGAGACTATTTCAGTTGTATGCCGTGCATAACCTCCAACCCACAACCTTCATCTCCAATACCTTCTGATTGAAATCGGACACTGGAAATGACCTTGAAAAACTGACATTAAATGATTAATTCTCTCCGTATCCGCATCCTAGGAATGCTTCACGCTTTGCTTAGCTTCCTATCAACTCGTCAAATTGCCAGTTGAACGTAAAGTACAACTTCCCGTAAAGATCTCCACTTCGGTTGTTTGTCTCATGTTACGAAAACCAGCTAACAGGAGTTCGTCAAAGTCAGATGAAGGCTGGCTTGCAGAATAAAAACTGCATGGTAAAAATCGTTTGTGGGTTGATAATGTGACTCATTCATGATTAGTAAACCATCAGTTTGCTAAAATGTTATTTTATCAGTTTACCATCGAGCGACAGGAAATGCACATTTTTTTCTTGTCCTACAACCTACTGACAGCCGCAAACTGATGTTCACAGAGCCCTGTTTTCACCTTCCTTCTTAGTTTCACTGGTAACCAGACCACACAATATTCTAGGAGCCACTAATATTTGCTACTGTTTCACTATCCAACCAATCAATTGGTTTATTCAGTGCTAGAGTTGTCAGTATCTCAGAGAGAATGTATTAGAATGTCCACATTTATTTTGAAAGATCAAATAAATGACAAATTATTGCATAATATTTCGTACTAACTTTATTCTTACCCAAGAAATGTGAGACTCCATACAAAAGGAAACCTGCTAAATCTAGGGGAGCATTGTATAACAGTTGATGCCCTTGATGGAATAATCAAAAAGAACTTCACACTTGCCACTCCAAAAAGATATGATGTGTGATCACTCCACCTGTTTTCTTCTCGCAGTGCTTTCTGTCCTTACGGAGACATGTGAAATCATTGATTCTAACTAACGAGTCCTCAAAATTTTCATCAAACCAGGATTCTTGAATACAAGCGACAGGTGTTACGGTGAATTTATGAACCAAGGGTGCATGATAGATCCGTCATCTTTGAGAAAAGTGACCTGATGTTAGCGTAACTAATAAGGGCATGGTCATTTCGGTGCGAATGTGAAACTGCTGGCCAGGCACCGCACTTATGTTTTTCCTTTGAGTAGGAACCATAAAATGAGTCATAGAGGATATAGAAAGCACAGTAGTGAGCAAATCATGCTTGAAACTGATTAACTGTGACCGCTAACCAACCTTTTCTGCAATCATTCGTGGTTTGCCCCACAAACAAATCTAATTCCGAGGAGGTGTAGGGCTGCCAACCGAAGGAAGCGTGCTCATCCCATTTTCCCTCGCCCCTTTTGTGGTTTGTGTCAATCATGCAGACCAGATAGATATATGTTTCTAAATTTCCTCTGGATAGTCTGCAGATTTGATTTGGGTAAATCCTTGTCCTCGATTTGGCATTTTGAAGAACGGTTTCGTAAATGTACTTTGTCGTCATTTTGCTTTTGGCTACTAATGAGTAGTAAAAACCAACGCGCTGAAATATTAGTTTTATTCCACCAAATCCATATTCATGCTGCCCTCCTGCACCCCTCCTCCCTCCCCAAATGTAATGATCCAAAAAACAAATTTTTATTCTCTAACACCCGATATAACATCAGCTGACTCATTCATTGGTTTCAATAACAATCACTGGCGTTTTTGGACAGTTTTCTGATCCTTTTGCTTCATATTCTGATGTTCCACCCATTCGTTGTCTCTGCATTCTTTAGAAATCATAATGGAAGTCTCGGCGACCAGTTACAAGCCCTTTATGAGTGCAAGGTTTCGTGTGGATCCACCCGACAGACACCCAAGTGGACCAAGTAAGTTCGGTAAAAACGCTTACATTTACAGTGGTTAATGACTGACTTATTACAAAAGTCGCCCTGCTTTTCTTACTCAATGCTGGATTTTTATATCAGATACTGTTATAGTTATAACCTTTCTGTTCTTCCATTTGACTATTCCAGTTTTAATGATTTTGGGAACTATTTTTTAGGGCCATTGATGCGATTATCTTTTAGAATCCATATTTTCTTTTTAATAATCCTTTCGTGAAGTCAGTAACATATATGCGGGAAAAATCAACTTTAGTCCTCCGTTTCGCGTCCTCTTACCCACCTGTAAACACACATATGCGCAGTCATGTCAACTAAGTAAATGCACGAGCTGAAATGAGTCATCAGAACGGAATGGTGAACATGTGAAGTTGTGTGATTTGGGTTTCTTTTCCAATGGTGGTAAGAAGACGGTAGCTAGAGTTGATCCAAAATGGCTTCATTCCATAACCAAAGCACTTGCCTAAAGGTAGACTCTTCCGTTGAAGATGAGCTGAGCATAAATTCAACAACTTTTTCAAATAACTCGCAATATAACCCAGTTCGCTGGCGATTTGACGTACGTTTTTCATAGCTATCTCAATCGGGGCATTTGTAAATAATAAAATAATATCGTGGAAAGCAGAGAAACAATTCCAATCACATGAATCTGATAGTGATTGATGAAGTTGGAATATGTTCTTTTACACTGACAGATTGGTTTGGCGCTCATTGGAGTAATGAGCTATGCCATTCCTTTCGTGAGTTGTTGTCCAGGAGAATAAACCATCGGCAGGATTGTTCATAAGGTGTTTCCTGGTTTGTGGAATTTTGACGACTCATACATTCTTGCGGTGAATCAGCCCAGGGTTTTCAGCCGAAGCGAATATGACCATAAATTTGGCCTCTACAAACGCCTGAGCAACGTCTGTCATACAGTGCACTATTCGCAGATATCCTTCCAGGCTGGAAGAAACAGCGAGGTGGACAGACTATGACGTGACGCAGAGGATTAAAGAGACTGTGCTCGGATCTGGCTTCTGTTGGGGTTTCCCGGCTCCCCGGCTGCGTGCAAAAATAAACAGCAGCAACAACAAAAATATCAAAACGGCGTGCAGTAAACAAACAAAAATTTGTTATTCCTCAAGTTGACTGTTTTCCCACTTCTAAACCCATATTTTTCTTTAACCCATGGTTATTTTTGGCGCCGTATCTGTAAAGATTAGTGTTATATATATATATATATATATATATGTCTGGTATATTATTTCTTGTGTAGGATGACCACTCTGAACTTTGTATTGGGCTTCACTAGAAAATTAAGTTTTCTCTTTCATCCATTTTATTGTCTTAAAGTAAGCTAGTGTGAGTAGACTGCAGTGACAGTATATGACTACACGGAATCGGTGAGAAAGATCAAAAAGTTTAGCTTTGAGTTAACTGTACGGATCGGCCTTAGACGGTATTCGTCCTTTTAATTGATCTACACAACAGCTAAACATCAATGGTAATCCTACAGCCAAATTAGGCATGCATAATTCAGTTTCAGCTTTTACAATCGACAACCATGAACTTTCGTTTGTCGGTTTTGGTTGTTGTCTTCTGGTTGCTCATTTGATTAGGATGAGAAGTGTAAAAGCAGACTGACAAGATATATGTATATCACTGTTTACGACACTTAGTCGTATCACTCGGTGTCTCTAACCATTGGCTGCTCCGAGGTCCCCATCTAGGAAGCTTAACGTGATCTATTTGACCGAGCCTCCTGGGTAGGGTTTTCATATCCTCATACCAGGTCATAGTTTGACCACGCTTACCTTCATCCTACCCATCACCTACCTCGGAAAACATTGCTCGCCGTGTTCACCGTGACTTATGCAACACATGATCCTACCAACTTAGTCTATAGGGGTCTACCACTTGCCCCAGCGGGCGCCCGCAGTTACCTAAAACTCTGCACCTAACGTCAGCATTCCTAGTTCAGTCTCCCCACCAGACTTGTGCAATACGGCCTGGATAGCGGCGTTCGAACAGGGACAATTTATTTTTATCCTGTTCCCGTAATTGCCAAGTCTATGTACCGTAAATGAGGATAAAAACGAGATGAAACTCTATCCCACAAGGGACTATAGGATTCAAGAAAAAGGTGAATTTAGTTTCATTAAATGTTTTATAAAGTGAGAGATTTACGGAGATGAATAATTTTCAGGTGTGAAAACGAAAGTTAGCATTGAGAAGACAAGACAATACACAATTTTATTGATTAAAGAAGGTTTACTACAATACACAGCAGGAATACGCAGATAAAATAAAGGTGAGAGAGGAACAATTGATTTTTATAGAAGCTGCTTTAGAAGAATTTGTACGATCGTTAAGTAGAGTCCATTTGAGATAAGCCCTAACGGAAACGGGGAAAAAGACAATATTTTACGGATTTTTCGTGGAAGGAACACACTTTGTTTGCGCTTCTATACTATTCAAATTTAAGGGAAACTGATGTAACTTCAATTAAATCCACTTATCTACTGGAAAACCTAGAAACTTAGAGGTGTTTCATCCATCCCGCGTCACTTAGTTAACCGGGTCTATCACAGCACCCATTAGAAGGGAAGGACCGAACCCAGCAGTAGTTGATCTCTGTCGGTCAGATAAGAGAGCGAGTCACGTCAAGATGGATCATTAAACCGGTCACCATGCTCAGGCGTGAATGTTGGTATGGCGAAATCTTTGGGATAATTTGAGAATCGGGAAGTTTTCTGTCGGAAAACACAATTTCGATATTTTAGTCAGTACAACTAGATTCCAGGTAAAAGAACGAAAGCCTTCTATAGGTCTAGAGATGATAATCTTTTTAGGGAAGCACTTGTTTACGAAACGGTAAATAATTTTAAATTTTTACCTCAATTTTTGCAATAACCGCTAACGGAAGCCTCTTAAGTTCATTTGTTATTTTTTCCCTTAATGAAACCAATGTGTCAGGAACGGGTACTTTCGAAATTCATGTACAATCTTTCTGCTCATTTTCAGCCAGCCCTCCTTTGAATCGGCTCGGAGTGGATGCAGTGGATGAACAAATTCAAGTGAGTTCCATCACTTGTTTGCAACCATTAGTACACTACTCACAAGTAGCTAAACTCTGTCAGACATTTTGCACGTTCTTGTTTTCCAGAATATAGAAACACTGACTGCGAAAGTTCAATCCCATCGTGCAAATCTGGATAGCGTAATAGGACAGTTTCAAAAATCAGAACCTTCCGGAAATCGAACGTTGCAGGATACTCTGACTGATTTGAAGACAATGTTGGGTAAGTAGAGCATCCTATTGGTAATGACTGAAACTATCTGTTTATGTGCCGAAAGTTCCGTCACCGAGTTCAAAACTGCACAGTATAATTAGCAATAAATATGACTATCAATAAATATTCCCTATAGGAAAGACATAAAACATTAATAAAATTTGGCAATGTAACCTGCATTTGAGATATTCAGTATTTGGTAAAATATTACTTTTACTGTGTGAGAAATGTCCATCGTCTCGTAAACAACACAAGGTCAGGTGAACAATTTCTCTCCTGATCGTACTTTCTGAATGTGAAATGTCCGTATTATCGATAATTCTATTAACCATTTAAAGTTCGATTAACATCAAGTTTATTACATGGATATTTTGGCAACGGACTACAAAAATGTAGAACTGAATGCTGTTCCCAACATTTTGCATTGATGTTTCTCATATGTTGCATCCATGTTGGTAGCATCCAACACGAATACCATTAAACGTATTATGGACTTTGTTTATTCACAATTTTAACCAATAGATACATAACGGACTGATTATGATTTTAGGTCAAATAAATATTCACGTGATTTGTCTCTAATCGGTGAGTGACTCTGATAATGCTTTGGTGCGGAAAATACTTCACACAGTGGCATAAGAAGAAGTGCTGCCATAGCGAATTTTAAAGTAAGCTAGTCTTGCATTTTGATAGCTTTTGTCCTGAAAAATAATTACTGTATGATGCTAAGATACAAATACGTGGTAAAATCTCCCCTTTTATACACTTATAGGTTGAAATTATAGCGGATATTCGTTGTACATGTGCGGCGTAAAAAAGGATCATCCGGCGGATTTCGCGTACCAGAAGAAACCTAAGGACCCAGTTGTTCAAAAATAGAAAAATGGCCGTACAGTAGGGGCATCACTGTTTCATTGTGGGATATTAAACCCAATTTTGAAACAGTACGTAGTCATTATTTACTTCGGCAATGGCAAAAGACGTTGATGATAAAAGGAGAGCCATAGTCTCTTTGGCCAAGTCAGCGAGATAAGATAAACAAATCCAGGGGTACTTTCATGTTTACACAGATTTTAGATTACATAGAATTTCAGTTTCAAAACTTTGCTGGAGGTTTCCCGAACATCGAGGAAGATAAGCACCGAAATATTCAAAATGGCAAACATTTTCTAAGCTAGATCTGTCCATTGCGACTCTACGAAAAGTGTTATGAATGTAAAAATGCAAGATCTATGATCTACCGGAAACAAAATTTTAACAAATTCTCACCGTTGTACAGTCCATTAAAGGGTTTTGGACTAATAAGCAACAGAAGATACGTGTCGTTGTAGCAGATGACTACGGTTACCGCAGTGAAAAGAGTATCCGTTTACAATATCATCAGCGTAGTTGAAAGTGAACGTGGATATGGTAAGGGGAAGAGTGCGCGTGTGCGAGGAAAATGGAAAAGAGGGAACGCATTACCTTGAACTGCTCTATAACTGACGATAACCATCGAAGACTTGTGGTAATGTGGACATTTGCAGGGAAGTTGACCGGTAAAGTAATCAGGTGATTAATCGATTAGCAATTAAAATGCATCATCTATGATTCTCTAGATTAGGATGAAACGGATTTTTGACCATGGAATTGAGTGTGTTTTATTATCAAGAAAACAAACATGTCCTAAACAGTGGAATGGGTCAACTTGGCTACTGCATCCATAGCTAAGCACACTTTTCTTAGTAGATTGAGGGTTTTCCAATACCAATTGAACCAAATATTTATATTCAAAGACCAGGCTTCTGTTTCATCACTTCTGGGGCTATAAATAAAGGCTCATCATCAACGATACAATCAGAGCCTGCATGAGAATACCTTTGTTTTGCTGTTCGTCTATAACTACATGCATGTAGATAGGCCGATGAAATGCAGGAGTTTATCAGCCTACTTCATTTCCTCAAGTGTCATTGTATGATACTGCAAATAGTCTGCCGATGTTGTTATAAAATATCATGCGTTCATAATTTCCTCTAGAATCCCGTAAATGGCGTCTGGAGAGGCCAAAACGATACCAAATGAGCCTACTTCTGATCGACCCCGATAGAACCTCGCCAGTGGCAAAACAGGTACTTTTATTCAACGAGATCAACATTCTGTGCGCACAAACGATCAAAATGGCAACCGAATTGAAAGTAAGGTCATTGTTTCGCTGATGTTTCATTTCATTTATGTTCATCCCCACATGATTACAAACGGTTCCCATTGCTTTAAGTAGACACACGAACACAACCACTTGACACATCATGATAGAACTGTAATACAGGACACCAATTCTCTCCTTCATAAATCTCTTTAAACTCTGTTTAGGATAAGTATGAAGAGAAGTTTTGATATATTGCATTTTATTCGAAAGTTTCTTGTTTCAGATGATGCGCAATATCATTCTGAAGCCAAACGGCTGACTGTAACTCATAATTATGCCTAATATTTCAGGACAAATAAATGACTAACGACAGCTGGGTTAAACGCTCGTTTAATTTTTTAATATCCTTAGAAAAGAGTAACTGTGTTTTTATCAATCGTTCAATATACAAATACGCTATATGTATCAGTGCCTTTCTCTCTCGATTACTTTTTTTAAAATTATGTCGTTCTGTCTACTTTTTGACGCAGTTCGACATGACCTTCACATAGCAAACGCATGACACGATACGGAGACCAGGTGCTCAGGGTCAGGGCGCTGTGCACGTTGCGTGTAATGTAGATTCACCTGGAGAACTTGGTTCGATGAGCATGCAAGAAAACAATGGAATTAAAAGTAAAAATTTGTGACCAGAGTTATCGAGCCCGGACACCAGATATTTTGAAAAGAAAAACCAGTATATCAACATCGCACGCTTTATGTCCTGAACGATTTCGCTGCATCTCGACTGGTGCCTACTGCAGACAAATGCAATGTTTATATATGGTTTGGGAATGAATTACAAAATAAACATTGATAAAACGAGTCGGTGAGCGAACAATTGTTTTCGGATATTCCTAGTCATGCTCTTACATATCATATAGTGGAAAAAATTCTTACAAAATCATAGCCATCGGCCCAATTTTAAGGTCATTAATCAGAGGCAGAGAGTAATGGAGGTGTATGTGTGTGTGTATAGGAATGTTTAGCGTGTTAGTTGATGTGATCTTTCCCCATTTGGGTCAAGTGACATTATGTTTTGTCTTGGTTTTCACACCCGACCTTAGAATTGAGCTAATGGCTATCATTATGTTAGAATTTTTCCACTGTATGATATGTAAGAGCATGACTAGGAATATCCGAAAACAATTGTTTGCTCACCGACTCGTTTTATCAATGCTATCATGGGAATATACAAAATAAACACTTGTAAATGGGGGGAGGCTTCACCAATGCAAAATCAAGGTGATAAACAAGTCTTTTGTTGACACTGAATTGGTTTCCATCGGCGATCTTGAGCATTCTAGCGTTATCGTTAGTAAAAATCACTCGAAATGCTTTCTCACAATCTACAAGGTGTTGCGTCATCAACAAGTGCTTGGCAATTGATGAGCTTGGTGGTTTGTAAGCACGGACAGTACCAGTTGCCGGCTGTGTGGACTTTACCATGGCAACCTTGCGTTGAACCCAGTTTGGAATGTGTTCCAAAACCCGATTACGTAATTGCCCTTCTGTTCTGTCTATTTACTTGTTTCCCCACCTACATTGAAACTGATAGATTACGTTTGAGCTATAGTACAGAGATCGGCGTCCATTTTGGTTCCCATTTGTTCGACCTCCGTGCATATCAGTGATTTGCTGGTGCGTTTATTGGTTTTGGAATGAATGGAATAACCCCAGGGTAATCTCAGATCATCTCTCTCCGTATGTTATTATCAAACACCATACAACTACAGAACCCTACAAACACGAGGACTGCCGTTTAGTCAGAGATTACCAAATAGGTAATTTCTGGAGTGTCGATTCATGTAAAAGCCCCGTTGGGATGGACGTGATACCAAACAGCGTGATGATGGACCTGCTGATTGACGAAAACAGGTTAGAACATCTCCGACCGATCGACGGGAATTTACTCCTGCGACCTTTGTGCTGGAAGTAGCAATCTGCTGCCCAGTGAATGAATGTTACCTTCTCCGTTTCATTAAGTATCACCGAACGACTGTTTGCCTCAGTCCGACTGCAAAGAAAAAATTACACTAATTAAATAAAATGATATTTTGCACGTATGCTCTGTTCATAGTTACAAATTGTTTTCCGTTATTGTTGCTGTTGTAAAATAAAATATGATGATATGCACGTCCTACGGAATAACATCAATAAACCCCTGTTTCGGGATTTTATTGCAGATCCTTATAGACCAGTTCCTATCCGACCCAAATACATCCAGCCCCAGTTACCTTTCTGACCCGGAAGGGATTGGACAACTGGAACCAGATGAGACATTTTATTTGATGGACGCCATGCGTGACCTGGGGCGGGAGGAGTTGAACCGACGTATCACTGAAGTTCGTCACCGGAAAATGAATGAGAACAATGCCAGGCGGATAGGACAGGATACAGACCGAACATTGCGGGAAACCAGAAAACTATTCTACGATCTGATTCAAGGCTGTGAAAAATGTCTTCTCTAATCCGCGACCAGACAGTGTGATTTTTGACCAGTGATTTTGTAAAAAATACCATGTACATACTTAGCTTTATACTTACTCACTTAATATTTCAATGCTGCTTTCGATATGAATCGCATTTGGAACTACCCGAACCTTAGAACGAAGAAAGTGATCACTGCTGTTCGTTGTTTTTGGTCTTGAGGGCCTTGTGTGATGAGTATCCCAAGTGAAAAGAACCTATCAGGGTCTTTTGGGTTTTCTTTCCATCTCCCATTAATGAATTTTCTCCAACCGCTAAAAACAGGGTTTTTCGAAGTACCTGAACAACTAAACGAACTCTGTACCGTAATTCACGCTCAAAAGATTGTTCTTCTGTGAGGCACGAGAAATCAATCAGCCCACTGTAAAGTTGCGTTTCGAGTTACCTTTTTTTATCTCAGGCGAGAATCTAATCCCTTTTGAACAATTCACGCAAGGTTTGGTATAAGTTGAAGGTTGAAATGCAGTAATTAAAAATATGAAGACAAATATGTATCTGTAACCTCTGATGTTAGCTGACCGTTCTTCAAACCGCGTGTTCACGCGCAATCCTCAGTTTAGCCTGGAAACCATCATCAGGGCATTGATCATGTTGACTAGCCTGGCTATAAAACGTCTGCGAACAACCGTTTCAGCTCGGAGAATACATCAACAAAAACATTTCTCTCTCCTTAGATTTCCACAGTAGAACAGAGGGAAGACGAATACTCGCAGACGTTGATATCTTTTCAATCTCCTCAGCTGCTACAACGGAAAACAGTCAGAGGAGGGGGAATCAGTTTCGGAATAAGCCTCACGGTAATTTGACTTATTGCATCAGAAACTTTTGTGCGCGCTCAATTGGATGAAGTAAGTTAACTGGTATCTCTTCATTGCACACTAAGAGCCCGGGATTCATGTTACATAGCAGCAACTTGAACGACAAAAATAGGTTAACGGTGTGTCCAGCAATATGATTTGATCTGTTTCGCGATTCGTGATCCTGGCTTTATCTTATCATATTGGTCTCTGAGATTGTGCTGCGTTATTGACTGTAGTAACCATTCGGAAATGTGCTCGGACATCCGCTCTGGCAGGAACCGATTAGTTCTGCCAATATAAATGTCACTGTAAATATAGGTGAACTGATAGATAACATGTGAAGTAGAATCGGGCCACCAGTTCCGTTTTCAGTTTTCTAGAAGAATTCATTGGGTATAGAGAATTGATCAAAACTGTGCGGCTGTTCGACACTACGCAGCCTTGAGATTCTGATCAATAATGAAGCGAAAGAAACTTTTATTCGATACGTCGCAATCGGAATCAACCGCTTTGCTATGCACATCATTACATTTCAACATATAGCCATCATTCATTAGCGTCCTTCGTAGAAAGGCCTCTTCTTCTTGAGGCGTGTCAAGATGGCAGATACTTTTGGCACTATCGAACAGAGTTTTCACCATGCCTTTTTATATGCCACATGAGCGAAACTAGGGAACTGTAAGTATAGACCCCTCCCCTCATTGTTGCCCGTTAGACCACTGTATTTGCCAAAGCTTTCTGATGTTAGAATCGGATTGTTTGAAGTTGTAAAAACTGTTAAAATCTCGCAGGATTTATCTTCCCTCTGTTCTAACAAATCGGATAAGGGGGACCCAAAGTTTTAAGTCCCTCTTAGGATTATTTTCAATCAGGATTTGAATCCGATGACCCTAATATGGAAGACTGTGTTAACATTGCGCTACCCGGTTCCCATAAAGACTGATCGGAAGCACTAAGGTAGGTTTGTCCAGTTATCACCCATGGGGCTGAGCTCCAAGTAGAGTGAAAATTGAAGCAGTTTTTGCTGGAATGTATATGGTTGAGTGAATGAACTGAGGATTGTAGGTGGAGCTGGTGGGTGAAGGATGACCACCTATCATTACTACGAAGCAAATGTGACTTGCACGTGAGGGTTATAATGAGTAGTATACGAATGACTGCAAAACATTTCTCAGAGGCACACGACCGGTTTTGAGGTTCTTTTCGCTCCTCAGGTATGCTGTGTGTATCCGGCAATTTCCTGTCTGGTTATTCTTATACCTGTACTCCTGATATGAAGTAGATGACGCAAAACTCGTTTAGACCTCGGGGAGTTGATTTTGAAACAAAAAAGAATCATTGCGATAATTGTGTGATCGATGGCATGAGTTAAATGCGTCTAACCTCAGCCAAATCTATGCCAAATTCGAGTTTTGGTGTTATCTGATTCACGTCGGGAGTATAAGTATAAGAATAACCAGACAGAAGATTACCCGATTGTGCATATCTGACTAGGATCACGGACCGCGAAACCGGTCACGTGCTCCTGGGCAGTTTTGCCCAGCCATTCGTATACTACTCACTATAAACATCAAACATCGACCGAGGCCTCGGGTTGGCTCAGGTTGGATGCAGCTAACCCATAACGCCTACAACAAAATCACAGCAATGGTTTTTCGAGGTTGGTTTGCCTCAAAATCAACTCCCCGAGCTGTAAATGAGATTCGCGTTGCTGTGATGAGTCAACCCTGCCAGATGACTCCAGCCCGGACCCTACGCGTTCCAGTTTCTGGACAGTGGGTCATGAAACAACAGTATTACTGATCGATCAACAGCCATACAGTTCAAACAGAAGCCGTGGGACTCGAAGAACGACAACGAGGGTTGGCTGATATTCGTTTGATGTTTCTGTTTGCATATTATTTAATATCATTGATTTATTTCAATAAATGCCCCTCTACTTCTTTGGCCTTCTTCCTGCGTCTCGGTGGTGGTAGATTCCAGCGTATAAGTCCTATGCGATTGAGCGTTTCAGTTACGCCTGTGATTCGTGATCCGCGATTCGTACTTACTTCAAATACTACAATTGCCTTAAACATGAACTGTCAAATTTTTTCTGGCGTTGTGACCATTCGCATTTTTTTGACCGAGTGAGGAACCGCTCGGCGAATATTTAGCTTATTCGAGCATAGGCTTAAGGTTGAATACTTCTTGCAGTTAGAATACGTGCTAGTTTTTTCCCCTTATCTATGCGTCTGGATGGGTCGGTGTATGTCAAATTTAAATGCCATCAGGTGTACCTTTGCGCGAAGTAGGAGAAAAATATAGGCCCTTAGACATGTATCAACACCAGGCTCAATGCGTAAGTGATGACGGGAAATCTGGTGTGGATCAAGATTTGTTTGTAAATCTTCCACATGGACCATATGGAGCACATTTTTAATTTCGTAACAATGTAACAGATACCATTCTGCATTTGTCGGTGTTTGTTTCCAGGTAACAGATAGTGACAAAATTTAATTAGTCATGTTTGGAGTAC